GCCCATGCCAGAGGCAACCAATGGATGCAAAGGGACGTGGCACAGCCCGGCCCGCGGGCTCAGCGGATGGGTGTCGACCTATGAACCAGAAAGGCACAATGGACTCCCGGTCGGGGCACAGGCCTGGTTTGCGGGCTCCACCCCCAGTGGGGGGCGTCCAGGAGGCAGTGGTCAAGATTCTCTCTCATCATTGATGTTTCTATCTTTCTCGCCCTCTCCCTTCCTCTCTGAAATCAATAAAAATATTTAAAAATAAATAAATGGCCCAACAAATCGGTGTTTCTCCCTTGCCCTCTCTCTCTAAAAAATCAATAAATAAAAATTGTAAAAATTAAAATAACCGGCCCCGGGAGAAAGCAGGACGGGAATGTGTGCGTCCGCAGCGCTGCCCGCCCAGCCCCTCCTGCCCTCCGGCCGCCCGTCCTGCCTGCACTGCGCGCACGGCGAGGAGAGCGCTAACCCTGTAAAAAGCCGCCTCCATGTTAAAGCTGCCATTTCTCCCCCATCGCTGACCTGAATGTGCGTTTCCAGGCTGCTGGCTGGTGTGGATGACGGCGGGGCCCCGAGGCGGCTCCGTCCCCAGAAATGACCCGGGCTCCTGACCTGGGCTCCGGACTCCTCACCAGGGCTGACAGCCACAGCCCGGCTCCACCCGCTCCTCGGGGAGACCGGCCCAGAGAGAAGGGGCAGCAGGAAGGCAACGACTGAGTCCAGCCGACAGGACCAGGTCCGGGTCCCGACCACAGGCCACGCCTAAAGGAGGCACCGAGCGCCCCGCACGGGGCCGCGTGCCCAGCGTGACGCGGTAGGTGAGCGCCTGGGGCCCACGCAGCACGGCAGGGTCATGAGGGATGGGGCCTCCATGACCTCCTGCGGCCCCCAGGCCCGACGAGTGGAAGTGCCTGTTGCCCAGAACCAGAGTGCGAGCACCGGGCGGCAAACAAGCAAACAGACGTTCACTCCTCACCCCCACCCCCCACCCCCGCCCCCCGGAGCAGCCGTCGCCAACGGAGGGGCTGCGTCAGGGACTCGGGTGTCCTGAGGGCAGCTGTGCCTCCTCGGGGTCTGTCCCCCAACCTCCCCAAGGGACCAAAACCCTATTATGAGAGAACCGGGTGGTGGTGAAAATGCCCACGTGTCTGCCCTGGCAGGTGTGCTCAGTGGATAGAGCCGCAGCCACAGACTGAAGGGTCTGGGTTCCATTCCGGTCAAGGGCACCTACCTCGGTTGCAGACTCGATACCCCACCCTGGTCAGGGCGCGTGCAGGAAGCAACCGATCGATGCCTCTCTCATCACGTCTCTCTCTGTGTCTCCCCTCCCTTCCACTCTCTCTAAAACTCAATGGAAAAATACCCTCGTGTGAGGATTAACAACAACAAAATGTCCGAGTCTGAGGACAGCAGAGGCAGGACGTCAGCCACAGCTGGTTTGGCCTGGACAGATCTGTGGGTGGCCCCGCTGGGGACCGGCTCCGGTGCTGGCTTTGGGGATGGGAATCCTTTTATTGCCTCTGCTTGCTTTTTCTAATCTAACGGGAGAGTCCTGTTACCTTGGTGCCGGGAGGTGGGGGGGAGGGGAACTGGCTGTAATGAGCGATGGTGGGAGCTTGCCAATGAGCCGCCAAGCCGCTCAGGACTATAGCAGATTTCCCCAGACAGGGGTCCCCAAACTCAGGTCACCTGTGCAGCCTCTCGGTGCAGGACCAACTAGGGGGTGGGAGGCCGGGGTGGGAGCCCTGGGTGGTCTCTGCCCCCCGAATGCTCTTCGGAAGGGTCTCACCATAGAGGGCTGGTTTATGGCGCCTGGACTGGCCAGCAAGCCTGGGAGGCGCAATGGCCGAGCTGGGAACCCATATGCGCCTGCGTCTGTCATCCACAAAGGGGGGGCATCTGCAAAGTCAGCAGCACCCGGGGCACCCAGATGCCAGGGGAGGGGGCACGGGGACAGCTAAGGGACCCACCTCGCTTCCCGTCCTGCTCACATGACAGAGTCTGGTTGGGGGTGAGGAGAAGGGACAGGCTATGTGCACATTCCCGTTAATGTCCCGTAAGTAGCACAGACCGCGGCTCCGCACAGAGCTGCTGGGTGACAGGGGGGAGGGAGCGGGTCCCCCTGTGAGCTGTGGGGGGTGGGGCGGGTCCCCCTGTGTGCTGTGGGGGTGGGGCGGGTCACAAACCTGGAGCCTGGCTTTCTGCTCTTCTCCTGTGAGTGAGCAGCAGGTAACAGGAACCGCCCCTCTCAGAGCTTCCTGCACCTGGAAGGCGTGCAGGATGCTGCGTGACAGGGCCAGGCCGTGGAGCCCAACGAACAGACAGAAATCCGGTCCCCCCCTCGGGCTGGGCACCCTCCCACACTGGGCGGAGCAGAGGCAGCTCACGGTCCAGATCCGCCGCGCGGACGGCAGCCTGGGCTCGGAACCCCATCTCTGCCGCTCTGGGCCGCGGAGCCGTGTGGCCGCCACGACGGGCTGGGGTGTGAGCACATCGCTGCCTGGTCTCCCTGAGCCGCAGAGGAGGGTGGTTTCTCGTTGATTAACCCCTTTGCACACCCGGCCTGGATCCGGCCGCGGCGGAGCATCAGGGCCACGGACGCAGCGGGCGCCCCGCGAGGTCCCCAGGAGCCCTGGTGGCTGGGACGGCGCGGTGGCCGTGGCCCTGATGCTCCACCGTCAGCCCAAGCCTGTGCCTGCGCCTGCTTCAGGCCGGGAAACACCAGGATCGCCCTCCCTCAGAGCCAGACAGGCGCCTGCCGAGAACGGAGCCTCACACTTCTCGGCCCTCCCGAGGGACTTGCCAGTCGCTGTGGCTGGCTGGTGTTTAAGGGAACCAAAACCTTGAACTAGCTATAAAAACAACGCATATATATGAATTCATATACATGTATACATATACATATTTACATACATACATATATATATTGATTTCAGAGAGGAAGGGAGAGGGGGAGAAACATCAATGATGAGAGAGAATCATCCATCGGCTGCCTCCTGCACGGCCCCCAATGGGGCTCGAGCCCACTACCCGGGCATGTGCCCCAACTGGGAATCGAACCATGACCTTCTGGTTCAAAGGTCGACGCTCAACTACCTAGCCATGCCAGCCGGGCCTAAGACAGTTCTTAATGTTTCCCTACAAGTTTATACTAAAGCCCAACTCTGACCAAAAGGAAGTTCCTTCATCTAAAGCAGTGGTTCTCCACCTTCTGGCCCTTTAAATACAGTTCCTCATGTGGTGACCCAACCATAACATTATTTTTGCTGCTACTAAATAACTGTCATGTTGCTACTGTTATGAATCGTCATGTAAATATCTGATACGCAGGATGGTCTTAGGCGACCCCTGTGAAAGGGTCGTCCGACCGCCAAAGGGGTCGCGACCCACAGGTTGAGAATCGCTGAAAAGCAAAAGTGACTGCATAGGCTCATAGTCATCCATCCTTCCCAGCATCGATTCAACAAATATTTACTGAAATCATAAAAGCATGTCACTCTGCAGAAACAATGGGGGAGAGAAATAGGTAAAACACTTAATCGGTGACCTCTTAGGGTGGTATCTGGAATTTTATCTGCATTATTATCATTTATGTTACCATAGTAACAGGCACGTTTCCATTTGTATGGACGGGGAAACCAACCAGGATCAGTAACTCTCTTTCTAAGGTCTCCACCCGGACAGTACCAAACAGCCTTCCTTTTCCTCCTTCCTTCCTCCCTCCCTCCCTCCCTCCCTCCCCCTCCCCCCTCCCCCCTCCCTTCCTCCTTCCTCCCTCCCTCCCCCCTCCCTCCTCCCTCCTCTCTCCTCCCTTCCTCCTTCCTCCCTCCCTCCCTTCTTCCTCCCTCCCTCCCTCCCTCCCTCCCTCCCTCCCTCCCTCCCTCCCTTCCCTCTCTCTCTCCCTTTATTACAAGTTGCGCATATTCAACTGCAGAAATAATATTCGATGAAACTTCATAAACCTTCAACTTGGATTTTTTCTCATAGAAAAGGGCTGGGGGAACCATTTCTAGGTTTATCCAAGTAGGATTCCAAATTTCAAGAATCAAGATTGCCGGTTAAGCTCCTCCCGCCAGTCCACCGCGATCCTGGTGGGAATGAGACGGTGCTGGCCTCCACTCAGGGCAGAGGGGCGAGAGGACTCGAGGACGGCCCGGGTCTCAGTCATTGGAATACGCTGCCTGGCCCACCTCCCCCCCGCACCCCCCACACACAGCACCTCACAGGTGGGGGCTGTTACAGATGGAAACCATGACCCCAGGTATACTGCTTAACCCTCATGGCAACGATGTCAGGCAGGCGTCATTTCCATTTAAACAGACGAGGACGGCACCCGGTGTGTCTCGTTGGTTACTGGTCACGGTGTTCTGAATCTTACAAAACCTTCCCCACGCGTCGTATCAGCCTGACACGTCCTCGGATGTGCAGCTACAACCCCAGGTCACGCCGAGCGAAGGTTCAGAAAGAGGGAAGGAGCCCTCACAGTGGGAATCACATTCGCACAGGTGATGGGTGATCGTCCCCCAGCTCTCTAAGCTCTGCTCCTAGGGCTTTTAGATAAAATGCAGGATTCCCACACACCTCCTGCAATTCTGGGCGGCACAATTATACTACAGGTGATGTGCTGTTTATCTGAAACTTAACTTGGCAGCCAGTAGTGTCGTTGGTTAAATCTGGCCGCCCTCGTCCTAAGGGGTGGGCCAGCCCATCGTCTGCCCCTTGCTCTCATCACCATGAGACAGGGACATCCGTGCGATGGGTACAAACCCACCAAGGGCCATGGCGACTGGAGACCTCAACTCAGACGCCTTCCTGTTCCCTCTGACTTGAGCAGCCTAAAGCCAGGCCCGGGATGGGCGTCAGCATTCCCATCGTGGTTGAACTTGGGGATCACGCGGCACACGGCTGTCAGCGACGGCTGGTTTCTGGCACTGAACACGCGGTCCCGACCGTCCACCCCCGCCCGGCACCACACCGGCCCGCCCCCCGTCCGCGGGAGCGTCGCTTACTTGTAGGGGATGTGCTTGCTGCCGTTGACGAGGGCCAGGATGACGTTGCCCAGCGCGGACAGGGACAGGCACAGCCCGGCGCCGCCGTCGCGGTTCTTGCTGAGCGCTTTCACGCAGCTGCCCAGGTCGATGAGGTGCAGGCGGCTGCGGCCCCCGGACACTGTCGGGGAGAGAGGGCCAGAGAAGGGTTAGGGCCTGGCAGACACTCCCCTGTCCTTCGGTAGCTCCTCGGGGAATCTGAGGTTTTGGAAAAAGAGAAGAGAACGCAGAGGGTCTAGTAGAAAACTCAACGAAATCCCGCCCGGGTGACAGACGCCATGGTTCCCTGGCATTCCGTCCAGCACGCGTTGCCGGTCTCTAACGTGCACCGATTCGTCCTAGGCATGCCTGAGGGTGGGGCTGGATGGGACCGCAGGGAAGGAAATTCCCAGTGAAAGGAGAGCAGGTGTGTCCGTGGGCCGCAGGATCCTGGAACTGATCGAGTTGGAACCTGAATGACCCAGGGGTGACCATCTGCATTGGCTGCCATCACAGAGGCCCCGACCGGAGCTCGGGTCATCGGGGTATAACTCAGGGTCACAGCAGCCAGAGGCCAAGCCGGTGCCGGGAAGGAAGATCCCACATGTGAGCGAGTGTCTGCCACGCGCCAGGCACCGCACAGACAGCCGCCTGCGGTTCCCGCGGTAAAACCGCAGGCCAGACACCCTCGTCCTCTTCACAGATGAGAACACAGACGTTTAGGAAAGTGAAGAAACTTGCCCACAGGTGCTTCTGCGCCAGGCCCAGAGGAAGTGACAGGGACCGGACACATCCTCTCTGAACCCACTAGTGAAACAGCCCAAGTGTCCATCAGCAGGTGGACAGGCAAACGGTGGCCCATCCGCCTAGACCCGTGGCCGGCAAACTGCGGCTCGCGAGCCACATGCGGCTCTTTGGCCCCTTGAGTGTGGCTCTTCCACAGAATACCGGCTCTTCCACAGAATACCACGTGCGGGCGCGCACGTACAGTGCAATTGAAACTTCGTGGCCCATGCGCAGAAGTCGGTATTTTGTGGAAGAGCCACACTCAAGGGGCCAAAGAGCTGCATGTGGCTCGCGAGCCGCAGTTTGCCGACCACTGGCCTAGACGATGGGCTGTCCCTCAGAGATATACATAAATGAACTACGGACAAGTGCCACAGAATGACCGCATCTCAAAGTAAGTGTGCGAAGTGACGAAAGACACAGAGGACAGACTCGAAGATTAAATTCCATTCGTGTAAGATCCTGGGAAATGCAAACCAATGTAGAAGAGCTAAAGCCGGTCAGTGGGTGCCTGCGGGTGGGAAGGGAGAGGGGAGGGGAGCTGGAGGGAGTGACCGCAAAGGCCCCAGGGACTTTGGGGTGATGGGTATGTGCACTCTGGGCTGTGTGGTTTGTGGGTGCACACATCTAACAAACCTTACCAGATTATACCCGCCCGTCCCCCTCTCGCTCCCCCGCCTCTGCATCCCCACCCGTCCAGGTGCCCAGCTCACACCCCCCACCTGCCCACCCCATAGCTTCCTGTTTCCACCGCCTTCCCTTCCTCTGTGTGGAAGGACACGGACATGGCAGAGGTGGCATGGAAGCTTCCTGTGGGCACCAGCTGGTGGGGGCAGGGGGGGACGGGGTTGGTAGAGAAAGCGGATGCAGGGTGGGTGTGGCCGTCTGGGTCCTGGTGGATGTGTGTGCGGGGGGGCGGGGGTGGGTGCAGTGTCTGGGCATCCTTGGATCTGCAGGCGGGGCCACATGACAGGGCTGCCTTGGAGAGGGAGGGTTCATGCTGCAGGGCAAGACATCCGGGGACCTGGGTCCTAGCCCTAACCTCGGCTCTCCCCCCGCCCCCCTCAGTTCCCAGCTCTCGCGCTGAGAAGGCGAAGGAGGTGAATGCGGGCCGCAGGCGTCCCTCCGGCCCTCGCTCCCCGGCGCAGCCACGGCGGAGAGCGCTTCACACTCAGCACGCGATGCTGTTTCCCTGCCAGTGTGCCCAGCAGCACATCCTGCAGAGGGAGGTGCCCTATGCTCCTCCTCTTTATCCCATTTCCTGTCCTGCCAGGTCAGGCCACGGCACCGCGCAAGGAAAATAGCTATTTTTAAAGCAAAATATCATCTGTTTTGCAACGTAATTATACAGACAGAAGCTCGGCCATCCCCCGTGCACCGCAGCTTAAAGGGCAGAGACGGGCCGTCTGAGGTAACGGAACCGAGTGCCTGACGCACAGGCAGTGAACAGAGAACAAGTGCGCAGTGCGGGCGGTGCTGAGGGACGGTGCGACACGCCGGTAATTACACCTGCGCGACGCGACGGACAGGCCAGGCCGACACGGGAAAGGGCGCGGCTCACCCACCCAGGGTCTGAGTCTCGCACGCGGCGTTTCAGCTGGAGGCGCGAGGTGAGCGAGAGGGCCATCGCTGTGAGCGAGAATCGCGTCACTACAGCGGCCGAGAGGGCAGCTCTGGGAGCCGTGAACGAAACGGGTGACGCCTAGCGGCAGGTTCCGCAGAGACTTTTGCGATCTGGGGTCGCAGTGCGGCGTGACAGGACCATAGCTCAGTCGGCCCTGAGGAACCCTCTGTCTGTCGTCCAGTGTGGGTATTTTAAGTCGTCTTTGGCCGAACCAAATTCCTCACAGGTGTACTCGCCCCGCAGAGCAACATACAACCCTGCCCACCCCCACCACTGTCCCGGGTGCTCCTGACCACCCGCAGGGGCCAGGAAACGCGAAATTCTCCTGCTGCCACTCAATTCCTACAACGCCCGGTCAGGCCAGAACCGGCTCCAGGGTACCGATGAGGAAGGTGAGGTGCACAGATGCTACGTAAATGGCCTGAGTCGCACAGAAGATGAATGCTGAGCGTAAGACGAACGCCCAGAGCTGTCTATACAGCATGGGGCTCTTTACCTCCCCCCCCCAACCCTTTACCTCCCTCCCCCTAACCCTTGACCTCCCTCCCCCTAACCCAGTGGTTCTCAACCTTTGCTGCCCCCCATTGGCATCACCTTGGAACCTTTAAAAATAACACATATGGCATGGCCAGCGTGGCTCAGTGGTTGGGCTTCGACCTGTGAACCAGGAGGTTATGGTTCGATTCCAGGTCAGGGCACGTGCCTGGGCTGTGGGCTCCATCCCCAGTGTGGGGCGAGCAGGAGGCAGCCCATCCATGATTCTCTCATCATTGATGTTTTTATCTCTCTCTGCCTCTCCCTTCCTCTCCCTTTCTCTTTGAAATCAATAAAAATATATATTTTTAAAAGAAGTGCTATTAGAATTAGACACGGAGTCTTAGCCTCTTTATATTTAAAAAAAAAAAAAAGAATAACCTGGACGCCTGGCCCCCATCCCACGCCTTCAATGTGACTGACTGGGTGTGACCCGGGCACTGGGAGTCACTGAACAGCTCTCCACGCTTCTCATGGCGGCAAAGTGTGGGAACCACCACCTTGTCACCTGGCCAGGTACACAGCGCTCTCCACGGCGACCCCGCTCGCTGAGGCCGTGTCCCCCACTGAGCATGTGCACTTCTTCCCCCCACAAGTGAGCTCTAGGTCAGCGGGGCGTCTCCCTAAGTCTAATCATGCCTCTTTCACTGGCATTAGAGATAGAATACAATCATCCTATATAGCAAAAGGCTAATATGCAAATCGACCAAACGGCAGAACGACAGGTAGCTATGATGCGCACTGACCACCGGGGGCAGACACTCAATGCAGGAGCTGCCCCCTGGTGGTCAGTGCGGTCCCTCAAGGCCAGCGAGCACAGCGGCAGTGGTGGGAGCCTCTCCTGCCTCTGCGGCAGCGCTAAGGACCCTGGGGGATGTCCAACTTGCCGGACTGCGAGAGGCGGGTGCAGGCTGGGTTGAGGGACTCCCCTCTCCCCGGCCCTCCCAGTGCACAAATGTCATGCACCCGGCCTCTATCTATTATGAAAAGCAGTAACAAGATTATGTGAAGACTAGTATTTCTAAACTAAATCCAGTGCTTTGGAAAGATGTGATAAAAATGAGTTGTTTTTTAAAAAGATGCTAAATAGGTGTGAATGGAAAATTACAGAGTGGAAACATGGTAGGAATCTAGAGCAAGTCTCTCCCGCGGGCTGCACAGGGCATTTGAAGTCCCTGAGTCACTCGGAATGAATGTAAAGCACAGGCCAGACGATGCCCATCAACGTGGTTTACGAGGGGCAGAACCTCAATCTGAACAAGCACCTCAGAGAGGAGGCCCCGCCCTGGCCCTGAGACCGATTCCTGCGGCGCGCGCGTGTCGTAAGTGGGAATCACATGTGGATGACATGCATGGACCATTTCATATGATTTCCCTTTTTAAACTAATTCCCTCAATTACTGGCCGGCTCCTGACTGTTGCAGACGGGCGTGTCTCTGAATCACAGGGTGACAGGTTGGCCTTTCTCTCTCGGAAACGCAGCTGAACTAGAGGATAGAGAAAGTCATTGTTCACAACACGGCACACGCTCCTGCGATTTACCGTAGGACCGAGCGCTGGCGTGCGGGCACACAGTAGGCCCGTGGAGGACGGGCAGGCGGACAAAGGTCCTGTCCTCAGGGGACGGGGAGTCTCCGCAGACTCAGACGCGCCCACAGATGACTGAATCGCAAGGTGGACGAAGGCTCCGGCTCCACCCCAGCCTGGCCCGGGACCGGAGGAGACAGATGGCGCACGGCCCGGGAGTCTGCAGCGCTTTGTGGAGGGGGCAGCTCAGGGGGGAGTGAGACACAGACAAGGTGCTTGTTTTCACTGTTGATGTCACCGTCCCTTCCCTTCTTTCCAAAAGGAGGCAGCCCTGACCTTGCTGGGAGGGGAGGTGGAAGATGAAAGCCTGAAAAGACGGTTGATGGGGTCCCCATTGGCGGGTCCCAGAGAGGCCAAGGGGCAGGATCGGGGTCCAGGGGACGGGGCAGGCGGGCCGACAGGAAAGGAGCCGGGCCCGGGCACAGGAGGAGGGATTCTGAGTCCGAGAGGAGGGCGGCCGAGGCGACAGCAGCTCAGCGCTCGTCCCTTGTGCGGAAGCCGGCTCTGTGCTGGTGCCGGGCCGAGGGTCGAGGGTTTGCCGCTCTCCTAGGGTGACGGGAGACCATGCAGACGAGCGTGGGGATTCCAGGCTGCAGTGTCTGCAGTGCTGTCTCCTGGCCGAGGAATAGGACAGTCACACTACAGAAACCTAGAAATCTAAAACTGACACTTCACCCGGCCGGCGAGGCTCAGCCTAGGAACCAGGAGGTCAGGGTTCGATTCCCTGTCAGGGCACAGGCCCGGGTTGTGGGCTCGATCCCCAGTGGGGCCTGCAGGAGGCAGCTGATCTGTGATTCTCTCTCCTCATTGATGTTTCTCTCTCTCTCTCTCTCTCTCTCTCTCTCTCTCTCTCTCTCTCTCTCTCTCCCTTCCTCTCTGTGATCAATAAAAATATATTTTTTTAAAACTGACATTTCATTCCTGACCAAGGGGCCATGAGAGCTGGTCACGAACCTGCGCGTGTGGTGTCCCTCCCGCACGGACAGCAGGTCCGGCTGTGCCTCCCTTGGAAGCCACATTCTTTCCCAGATCTCGCCCCACACCCACATCCACCACCCAAGCGACGCACAGCCGGACAGGGCACGAGTGAGTCAGCCATTCCCGCCACGTGAGGAAGGAGTGGCTGCATGAAAAGAAAGCTGAGATCTGGGACACCGTGTGATCAGACTTGTCAACAGCTGGGTGCCCACGTGCACACACCCCCGCCCGAGGCCCAGCCGGCCCAGCCCTCGGCCTGGAGGCTCCCGGGGGCAGTGAGGGGAATGAAAGGGCCGGAGACACAGTGCCACCCTTGGCCCTGGACCACGTGGCTTGCAAGCTGCGGTCGCTCAGCCAAGCGAGGCTTTCAAACAGCACCTTTGTCACCTGGACTCTAAGTCTCTGGACCAGGGACATACTCCCAGGAGGCGTGAGTAGCACCGTCTTGCTTTAGACTCTGAGGGCAGAGCTAGACTTCCCAGGGGGTCCGCAGCCTGGACAGATTAGCAAAGCGGGGGGGTGCAGGGGCTCCCACTAATGCTCCACAGACTTTGTAAACCAGGAAACATTCTAAGCGTAACCTAGGGCATCTGCAGAGCAGTGCACGCCCACATGACCTGTCCTTCCCATCCTGGACACGTCTAACACATGTTGATCTATGTGGATCTGTGTGTGTATAGCACGCATGCATGCGTGTAAGATGCAGGCACGTGCTCACGGGTGCTTAGCCCTTGCCCGGAGCCCTCGCTGAACCCGTCATCTCCGCTTCCCATGGCCAGTGGACAGCGACCCGCGGCTCCCTGCCTCCGGGCAGGTGGCGAATCAATAACCGTCCCCGTCACGGAGTCCGAATGCCAGGCCTCAGGGGTTATTCCCTACATTTAAGCAAACGACATTTCCATTCTGAACCACACTCCAAACCTCCTCCTTACATGTTAAACAGATTTCACGCACAGAGGTCCCGCGAGCCCTGGGCTGGGGGCGTGCATTCTGGCCTGACCCCTCCCCACAGCCAGGCGCGTGGCCGGCAGGGGCACCTCCAGGGCCTCCGGGCTCGCCCCACGGGCGCCTGGCCTCCCCCTTCCTTGTTCTCATCTGCAGATGGTTAGAAACGCCGAAGAAGTGTGGGAAGCCATTAACGGTCCGTGGCTTTCCCTTTACCCTGAATTTATTATTTAAGAGCAACTCGCGCCCACAGCTTATCAATAGGCAGAAGATGAGGTAGAGGTTAGGTATTTAGCGAGCACCCCAGGTTGGTTAAGTGCTGATGGGGTGGACTGTCGGGTTAGGGAAGGTCCTAGCTGGCACTTCTGTGGAGGCCAAGTTTTAAGTTCTGACAGTTGAAATAATTTCATTAACGGCTTCTTTGCTTTCAAGAGTCCTCCCGACTTTCCGATTCCGAACTGAGAGCAGAACCAGGCAGCACAGGGTGAGAAGCCAGCAGCAGAGCTGCCCGCAGCGAGGTCTGCAGCCCCCGGGGGAGGGGACCCGCCCCAAGTGCTCCCCTCGGGCGTGTGGCAGCCATTGGCCCGAGATTCAGGCCTCCGGCGAGCCACCCTTTGCTGAGAGGACCCCGATTCACTGCAGGCTCTGACCATTATTATTATTATTATTATTATTACTACTAACAGCTTAAAAGAATAAATCACCACTTTTCAGACTCCCACGTGCACGCGGCTGAGACACCGGCCAGAAGCGCAGCGAGGGCAGGACTGACAGCAGCTCTGATTGTCAGGATAACGTCTGTCCTGATGCTCAGGTCTGGATCCTCTCACCTCCCTCCTCATCTCTCATCGGTTCCTTCTTTAAGAAAGTGATTCTAGCCTGAGCCGGGTTGGCTCAATGGATAGAGGGTCGGCCTGCGTACTGACAGGTCCCCGGTTCAATGCCCGGGTTGTGGGCTCAATCCCCAGTGGGAGGCGTGCAGAAGGCAGCCAATCAATGATTCTCTCCTCACTGATGTTTCTATTTCTCTCTCCCTCTCTCTTCCTCTCTGAAATCATAAAAATATATATGAAAAAAGAAAGAAAGTTGCTGTACTTAGGAGTGGGGAACATCTGGCCTGTGGGCCATATAAGGCTGCAAACTCATTGGGTCTGGCCCTGCCAAGGCATTAGGGGTGAGTGAATTCAATGTCTGACCAATACAGCAGGCTAATGTTTAAGCTGATAATTGTGTTTGGCCCGAGAATGACGTTATAAACACCCACATGGCCCTGGGCAGGAAAGGTTCCCCACCCCTGGTGTACCCAGTGCGAGCTCCTCGAGAACCCATTTCCCTGAAAGATTCCCACTCACACCATCTGGCCTGCTCCCCCATCCCCCAACCCCTGCTGGTTGCCAAGAGAGTACCCGATGCCCCCCCCCCCCCCCCGCACTGGTGCCCAGGGCATGAATGAAAGGGAGGGCCAGTGCCGGGGGCTGAGGCTGATGGTTGGTCAGAGCCACGAAGCCAGCCTCAGGGAACGGGACTCCAGCCCAGGTCAGGCCCACGCTCGCTAAGACTTCAGTCCCGGGGACCCGGGTACGGGACGCGACCTCAGGCCCAGTCAAAGCTGTGAGTGGCAGCAAGAACAAGCGGATGATCTGTGCAGGCAACAACGTGGGTGGATCGCAGAAGCCCCATGAAAGAGCCAGACCCCAGGCCACCCCTGGGCCAGGTGATCCCACCTGTCTGACATTCCGGATGGAGGCAGAACTATCAGATCCGCGTTGCCCGGGGCCGCTCAGGGGGCGGACGACAGGGACCCCAGGGGGCTGGATGTGGGGGGCTTTGCTCTAGATCTCAATAGCGGTGCTGGTCACACCACTGCACAGATTTCCCAGAACTGACCACGGACACACAGCAAGGGTGTTACTGAGTGTAAACCGTGCCTCATCAAAGCGGAATTAAACAGCGACCAAGGAGCAGGAACAAAGGAGGAACAACTGGGTCAACAGAGGCACTGAGACGGGGGAACGGAAGAGCTTCCACGTGGGGGCAACAGGCACCCCTTAGCACTACTCCCAGGGCAACAAGGACACTTGGGAGGAGTTGGGGAGCCCATCCCCAGATCCCAGGGAGCTATCTGAATTCCAGGCTCCACTCCAACCAGGTGAGTTGACTGCCTCCGTGTTAGTCACTGAGCTCACGTTTCCAGCCCGAGGGTGCCTCCTCAGGCAGGGCCACTGGCATTAAGCACCTGAGTCAATCCTTCCGGGAGCACTGGGCCCAGCTGCCGGGGGGGGGGGGGGGGGGGGGGGGAGGGGAGCCGACGCCCGCCAGCCCTGCCGTGGCCCACACCTGCCGTGAGGCAGCAGGCCGCCCTGCCCTGGTCCCAGGTCCCCCTGAGGAACTCGGTGGAGGGCTGGCACCAGCCACGGAGCCTGGACAGACACGCCTGGCAGTACAGGCCAGAGCGCGGCCACGGTCAGTGCGCACTGCAGACAGCCCGGGGCCTGAGCCTCCCCCCAAGCGGGTCCTGGCCCTGCAGCTGCCACAGGGACCGCGGTGGGGCTAACAGGGAACCCCCACGAGGGGCGGGGCCTGGGGAGGGGGGCAGCCAGAATATTCCCGCTTGGCTGTTCCATCGCCTGATCACAGGCCACTTAAATAGCAGAACCTGCTTCCTTCCGGGCCATACAGCAGACTCAAGCTCACGATTAATCACACTGCCAGGTGCCCTGGTGATGAGCACCTTCAGGGTTTGGGAACAAAACGATACCACGAAGCAGCTGCTTGGCCTTTTACCTCTGTTCTCTCCACGCCCATGGCAGGGACACTCAAGTTCTCTTCACCAGGAGACCCTTCCCCTCGGCCAGGTCAAAGGTAGGCGTCAGCCCGGACTCCACAGCCACCGTGAATCACACGGGGGGCCAGGGGGCACGGGCTGGGGGACCCGCCACGTGGACCAGGTCACGCCGCCCGCCCGGGGGCTCGGGGGAGGGACTTACTGCCGCCCTTCCCGCTCTTCTCCATGCGGTACTGGTAGATGTGCAGCGTGAAGAGCATGTGTGAGTTGCGCAGGTCGTCCTCGTCGCAGTCCTGCCGGTGGCCCCGGCGCGCGGCCAGGGCGGCGTCCAGGAAGAAGGCGGCCTTCTCGGCCGTGGGCGCCCGCAGCTCGCTCTGGTTCTGCAGCTGGAAGACACAAGCCGAGAGCTGACGCCCGTCCGGGGGCCCGGCCTGCCCTCCCGCGGCTGTCTGCTCAGCACAGCCAAGCTGCGTGCCCGTCCACGGCCCCAAGTCCTTCCAGAACGCGGGCCACCCGCACGTGCAGCTCTCAGCTTCATTCACTCATTGCCAATGATTCCCGTTGGGCACACTTACTGGAGGGCATTTCCCCACTTTACAATTTAAGCCGCATCTGTAAACAGCAGGTGTGAAAAGCAAGTGGATGGCCCAACCGTCGACCTGCGAACCAGGAGGTCACCATTCGATTCCTGGGTGGGGCACATGCCCAGGTTGCAGGCTCGATCCCAGTGGAGGTGGGCGGGAGGCAGCCCATCAATGTTTTTCTCTCTCTCTCCCTCTCCTTCCTTTCTAAAATCAATAATTATATATATAAAAGCAGCCCTAGCTGGTTTGGCTCAGTGGATAGAGCATCAGCCTGTGGACTGAAGGGTCCCAGGTTTGATTCCAGTAAAGGGCACATGCCCAGGTTGTGGGCTCAGTCCCCCAGTGGGTGGCATACAGGAGGCAGCCAATCAATGATTCTCTCTCATCATTGATGTTTCTATCTCTCTCCCTCTCCCTTCTTCTCTGAAATCAATAAAAACATAAAAAAAACAAATAAATAAATAAATAAGCAAATGGGTGTATCTGAGTGGGAGCAGAAGGCCCCAGAGGACAGCCCACCAACACGCGGGGCAGTCCGTTCACGTAAGGCTGTGGTCGGCAAACCGCGGCTCTCGAGCCACATGCGGCTCTTTGGCCCCTTGAGTGTGGCTCTTCCACCAAATACCACGTGCGGGCGCGCACGTACAGTGTGATTGAAACTTCATGGCCCATGCGCAGAAGTCGGTATTTTGTGGAAGAGCCACATTCAAGGGGCCAAAGAGCCGCATGTGGCTCGCGAGCCGCAGTTTGCTGACCACTGACCTAAGGGAACCCCGGGGAGGGGCCTGCGTCTGACCTCACAGGTGAGATGGCTGCAGGCAGACAGGCCGTGAAGTGTGATTCCACTTCGGTGATTTACTGCATGGCGCCCCAGAGAAGTGGAAGAACTTGGGTAGCTTAGCTCAACTCTCTGTTTTCCTCAGCCATTTAATTAAAGCCAATTCTAGACCACATTTCCTGGCACGGTGATAAGCAAGACGTAAGTGTCAAAGACGAATGAAAACACCCCGGATGCTTGGATGCCTCCTCTACGCTATTTAAGGGGCGTCTATTTTTATCTGCAGTCACTCAATTCATGTGCTTGGCATCCTCATTAATGGGCTAAAGACAGCATCGTGGGCAGCGTGTCTGAGCCCCGGACGCCCTGGCAATCACAGTAAACCCTCCACAGAACAACGGCGCCCTTTCTGGGGAGAGAAAAGGAAATTCATTATTCCTGATTTTTCCAAAGGAATGATCTGCAGGAGATGTCTTAGGGTCGGTACAAATTCTGAAAACGTTCTGCTCTGACGGCAGCAATCCCTATCACTCTGAACGGTGAGGCTGCTATCTGGAATCTGAGACCATAAACATCCTCAGGCTTCAAAGAGAGACTCTGTCGTGTTCGTTGTTTTGTACTCAGTTTGACAGAATAAGCCGAAGACCCCTTAAGATTTCTCACCAAGAAGAGTGAACATAAAGAGCACGTGGGTCTCTCTTTCTTCACCTTCAGCTAACCTGCACCTTCACCTCCAGGGACCTGCATTAAGGCACAGTGGGTGGACCCCGTAGCATAGTTGAGGGTGCAGGTAATTCTTGGAGCAGGAGCGGGGGGGCGGGAGGGGGGCTGATCTCCATCATAGGCGCCGGGTAGGTGCCATCTGAGCATGTCCTCTGCTACAGAAGGGTGGTCCTCAGAGTGGGTCCATAGACCAGCAGCAGCAGCACCTAGGAACTCGCTAGAAACCCACACTTTGGAGCTCTGACCAAGGACCACTGACTGGGGAAGCTGCAGGCAGAGCCCAGGTGTCTGTGTTAACAGGTCCCCCGGGGGCTCCTATGAAGACTCACGTTTGAGAATCACTGCATTAGAGCTTCCCCGACCTACTGGTTTGCGTCCTAATTAGGTTCCCGTCCAAATGGCGTTGGATGCATCTGTTACAACTATGAGCGGCCAATCCTGGTCAGACATGGTGCCCGCCCTCTGGGAGTTGCCGAGAACTCATCGGCCATCACAATACAACTGCTACCCGTGTTCTAGTGACAGGAGAAGCATCTGGGAGGGCTTCCTGGAAGAAGCGACAAGCTAGCTGAGACCTGAAGGATGAGGAGTTCGCCAGATGAAGAGCGGAGGGGAGAGGGATATCCGTGCACAAGGAATAGAGCGTGCAAAGGCCCCGGGGTCAGAGGGAGCAACGCCAGTGCCTTGGAGCTCTGCTGCTGAAAGCGTGGGCATCATTGGGAAGCTCATGGGAGAGGCATAACCACCCAGACCTGCTGAACCAGCGTCTGCATTTGTAACAAGATACCCAGAGATTCATAGGCCACTGAAGTGTGCGGGCACCGCTTTCTAGGTAATTCATTAGGAGCGGCGAGAGGGGAGGTAAGAGATGGCGCTAGGAAGGTCCATGTAGGGCCTTGGGAGTCACAAAGAGCTTGGGGATGGAGGACTCACAACAGGAATGGAAGCCCCTGAGCAGGGGGAAGAACGCGGTCGGGTGAGAGGAGGGGGATCCTAACCTTCGCCTGAACGCCTGTCTGAAAAAGGAGGCATCGGGGAGGACCAGGCAAGAGAGCCGACTGCTGGAGCCTGGAGAAGTGATGCCTGGACGTGAGCCAGGCTGCCCAGCCTTGTGCCATCTCTCATCGAACAGCAAGAGAGAAGCACTGGACAGGAGCACAGGCTGACAGAGCGCGGCAGCTTCTCCTGGCTCCCACAGTCCCAGCACTCTCATCGCGGTTCTAACCGGACAGCGGTCACGCGTGTGACGGCAGCAGGACTCGCCTGTGGTGAGCCGGGCCAGGAAGGCCGCACAGAGCCGTAAACAGCCCCGCCGTGGCCGCAGCCATGGCTGCAGAGCAGCAAACATTTCCGTTTGCTGTTAAACAAAAGAAAGATGGCACTTTCTCCCTCCCCGCCTGAAAGGGGTGTAAAGGATGGAAATTCAATTTCCTCCAAATGCGACCACAGTGGTGAGTCCTGCTTACTGTCAATTAGGTCCGAGGTACAAACATTTAGGTTGGGCGAGCAGATGGCCCCGCAGCTGGCGCCCGTGAAGCTCCAGGCCACGTGGGCGTAAACACGCGTGAGCCGCCCTGTTCCCGCGCCGGGAGTCAGCCTGGGCGGCCCCAGCCTCGGAGGTGGGCGGAGCCCCCAGAGCCCCCGGAGCCCCGGCCCCGAGCTGCCAGTCACCTGCGTGCCGCAGATGGGGTCCTCGCACAGGTACACGCCCGGGGACTGGCCGTCCTGCAGGCTGCCCGTGGCCACCTCGGACAGCAGGTCCCGCAGCTTCTCCTCCTTGCCCCACACCTCCACGGCCGAGATGCGGACGGAGAAGCGGGCGCCGGTCTTCTCCTTGCGTTCATTGATGAGCTTGAAGAGCCAGGCGATGGCGCAGGGGATGATGCCCAGGCTCTGCGTGGAGTCGTCTCTCCCGATCATGGTGTAGGACTTGCCTGGGGGGGGGGGGGGGGGAGATGGCGTGTGAGTGTCACCACAGTCTCAGGAGTGGATGCCGGGGAGGCACGGAGGCGGGAGGGGAGGGAGAGAGGAGATGATGGTGAACGAGATAGTCAGCACTGGCGACAAGGACAAAAGGCCACTTCCTGGCGCTTCTGATGAAATGGCTACAATGAAGACCGCAGAGCCCTGGCAGAGCCCTGGCAGGGGACGAGACTGAGTCACCAGGTACCTCCAGGAGGACCCCAAGGCCACACCCCCCCAGCTCTGCACTGTCTTACCCAGAGGGGGAGGCAGGGACTCCTCGCTATTCCTGTGCGTCATCTCACCGCCCACCTCCTCACACTACATCCCCCCGCAGGTTCAATGCCGTGCGTCTCTTTACAGCATGAGCAAAGCCTATTAAACCTGGTCACAGCTCTGATCAGAGATGGAGAAGAGAAGGGGGGCGGTGGAAGGGGCCCTCCGCTCCGGCTGGACCTGCCCTCCAGCACCGGGGCCTCTGACGGCATCTCGGCCAACGGACACTTCTTACTAACCCCCAGCCCGAGGGGCGGCCTGTGAGCCGGCGGCCACGGGTCAGGGTGGAGGAGGCACCTTGGCGTTCAGCTGCCTGCCTCCCAGGGGCCTGGCGGGCTGTGCTGGGCTGGAGGGGGGAAGCAAGGCCGCCAGAACCGCCGACGGGCAGCCGTGGTCTGGGCTCCGCTTGGAGCTGCTCCTCTGACTGTTACGTCGGCTCCACCTCCAGCCCCCACCCTCCCGGCGGCCCCCGCTCAGGGAGGGTACGTTGTCCTCTGGCTTTCTGGGCGTGACCCTGACCTGGACCACTGGGAACACCCCACAGCTCCCCTGCTCGTCTCCTGAACTCAAGGGCTTTCCCAGATGACGGGGATCCACGCAGAATGGAAATCTCATCTCGGAAGCGAGATGCTCATTCGGGGTCCTTTAACTCGGCACCCAGGGGACAGCCTCTCCTCTCGCCTGAGGATCGGACGGGGCAGCGGGAGGAGCGGGGTGACGGGACCCCAGGAGCAGCGCGCGGGGAGCTCAGCCTCACTCACCCAGCTTGGCGTGGCCGAAGCAGAACACGCAGCCGTCCGCCCCGTTGACCACGGACTGGATCACCTCCGCCACGGTCCCAGCGCACACTTCCGCCTGCGGACACGGGAGGAGAGCGCGGTGAGTGGGCCTCGCTGGCGGACATAAAGGAGCCGGCTCTCCCGGGCTGGGGTCCCGGACCTCCCAGAGGGGACGCTAACAGGTTCTGGAGATGCTCAGCCCTCGGTGCCTCCTGCCCATCCCGCCGGGCGTCACACGCAGTCACTGCGAGCCCCTCTGCTCCCTCCCGGTGCATCTCAGCGCTGCCTGCAGACCAGGCAGGAGCCGCGGAGGGGACAGGAGCCGTCATGGACCTCACGCCCGCCCCTGCCGCTATTCTGGCCTCCGGAGGAGACATTTAAACTTTCCATTTGCTCTCTGCTAAGTAGATCCATCCTTACACACACACACGCTCACACACACACGCACGCACACGCAACACACGCTCACACACACGCACTCACACACACCCCCTTATAAACCGGGCCAGCCTTTTAGAGGGGAAGGTGACCGGCCACTTCAGGAAGGTGACCTGGAGAATCACTGTCATTCCAGTCTAAGCAGAAGGTTGGTGATGTCTGCGTTCTCTCCCCATCTCCCTCCTCTTTCTCAATCCTTCTTTGCTTTCTTTCTGCACCGATATGGTCAACGTATACAATTCCCCCACAAATAAAACACGCTAATCCTGAGACGGGGCGGGGGGGGGGGGCAGCAGGGGGGCAGGCTCCTGAAGACCCTGTGCATTTCCCACTAACACTCCCGCGCTGCGCCGTCAACCCTAGGGCCTCAGTCCATTCTGGGGACCACGTAGGAGCTACGGGGCATGCCCTGGCCGGGCCGAGCTCACAGCAGCCGGGGAACAGAGGGATCCACTGCGCCCGCCGCCTTCCTCTCTATCCCAGAGCGGAGCCAGATCCCTCGGGAGCATCCGGGGGGTGTGCGAACCAAAGGCGGCTCTGCAGCCAGCGCCACGGCCTCGCAATGAATGGGCTGTTCAGCACCAGGTCACCGCGGCAGCGAGAACCAAGTATTCAGAAAGCAACCTGCTCTCCCGGACCGAAATGGAAAGCCACACTCCCAGCAGCTGTGGACTGTCCCAGTGTCGCCAGAGCAGCCCTGCTGGGGGCACCGCCAGGGGAGGAGGGCCGGACGGGGCTGACGGGGGGTGGGGACCCCAGGATCCATCACACCCCCGGGACCTGGGCCCCGCGAGCCTGGGGCTGTAGAATCTCGGTGGAATTTGCCAGAGGCTGAGCGACTCTGCCTTCCTGGGACATGGGGGAGACAGAGGCTGGAGGCTGAGAGGCCCCCCATCCATCCCCCAAATCAACGGCACGGACGCGAGGTCAGCAGGGAGCACACAGGCTGTGTGTGGACCACAGGGCCATCAGCGAGTCGCCTGCGCCATAGAGGAGGCAGGAGAGGCCTCCACGCACAGGACAGGCCGAGTCCCTGCACCGTGTCCACCGAGGAGTGTGGCGGGTGACTGTCCACCTGGTGTTTGTTAGGAGCTGCCCGCAGCCCCTGGGGCCACAGGCTGCTTTCCTGGGGCCCAGAGACGCAGGTGTCCCTCCTGAGCCCAGAGCAGGGAGGGCCCAGGCCCCAGGCAGCCCTGCTCTCCCACAGGGGAGCCCTCCCCCACCCTCCTGCAGGCCCGGATCTGTCCCCTCCAGTCACCTAGTGATGGTGTCAGGAGGCGGGTACTCTGGGAGACGATGAGGTCATGGGGTGGAGCCTCATGAATGGGATGAGGAGAGAAGGCCCCAGGCTCTGAGTCCCTTCCACCCTGTGAGGTCACAGCGAGCCGCTGTCGATGAACCAGGAAGGGGCTCTCGCCAGACACTCTGAGCTCGGGCTTCCAGCCTCCAGAACGTGAGAAATGCATTTCTGTTGTTATGAGCCACCCAGAGGGACTAGGTCACCTCCACGAAGCCAGACCAGCAGGGCTGCCCCGCCGCAGGCAGCTGGCGACAGCCACGGCCACTGAAGGACATAGGATGCTCATAAAGGCAACAGGAGCAAGAAGGTTCTGTCACTGCTTAGCGTCAAGAAGCTGGTGTCCTGCCCGGCCGGGGTGGCTCAGTGGTTGAGGACTGACCCTTGAACCAAGAGGTCATAGTTCGATTCCTGGTCAGGGCACATGCCTGGGTTGCAGGCTGGATCCCCAGTGTGGGGCCTGCAGGAGGCAGCCGATCAATGATTCTCTCTCATCACTGATGTTTCTCTCCGTCTCCCTCTCTCGGAAATCAATACAAAAATATTTAAAATATTTTGTTTTAAAAAAGCTAATGTCCTTAGAGAGGAGAGAAAGCACAATTCATCGCTGTCTGGGCCGCTCAGGGCCCCTGCAGACCCACAGGCCGACAGCCAGGCCTCGGCAGAGCCCGCCTCCTGCACCACCGGCTTCCCTGCCGTGGGGGCTCGAAGGGCGCTCGCCCGGGAGGCTGGGGCTGGCCACGGCCAGCAGCTCGACGTCAGTGGCAACAGTGATGACTGAATAGCAACAACAGCTCACGTGTGCTGGGCACTGACTAGGTTCTAAGTCCCCCGTGTGCATTAATTGCCCGAACCACCACAGCCTGAAGGAGGTGCACTTCGGCTCTGTCTCCATCCACAGATGGGGACACTGACTGTCCACGGACACGCTGCTGGGAAGCATGGGTGAAGTGACAGGTGGTCACAGATAAACCCCCGACGGAGCAGGACACACAGAGGTCCAGGGAAGGGGCTGGGAAAGACGCCCGCGCAGGGAAGGGGTCATGAACAAGACGTCAGATCTGAGTCCCAGTTTCCTCGTCCGGATGTGCAACGAGCAGTGCCTCCCTTCCGACACCAGAGCCTTCTGGGAAGACGAGTGGGTCAAGTTAGAGGCAACTTCTTGACACTGGATTTTTTCGAACTGTCACCGATGCTAATGTTGGCAATGTTAGCAAACATTAAGCATCTGAAGAGAATGCTCTGTCCCATCGAGCTCGCGAGCTCTGAACCGAGCAGGAAGTGTAAATAAAGGCTGGCAAGAAAGGCGCCTCCTTGCCCTGGAATGAATCTGACGTGCACTGGTAGTCCGAGCTGAGTTCAGGGTTTGCGTTGGAATTCTTACAACCTGGGGAGATCTGCTTGGAAAGTGTTCGCTGCGTTAATGAAATGACTTGTGGGGCATTTGTTGGACCCACTGTCGGGTCTAGATGGGGGAGCCCAGGGGCTGGTACCAAACACAACCTATGCAAAGAAGACGGGAAACCGCAGAACTTCTTCACGGAGCACGTTGTCTCTTCGTGGCAAACGCTTTGGGGAAAGCACAGGCTCGGCGTGTGGACGAACGGAGCCCACAGCACGGGCCACCCGCCGACGCCCGTGTGGACATCACGTCTTCCGGCACCAAGACGCACGTGGAGGAAAGTAACGGGGGTGCGAATGGCGGCTGGAACGTTCCCGCTTCTAGAGGCTATCGGCCCCTGTCCTGCACATTGTCGTGTGTAAGTGTTGGACAGCGCTGGGCATTTATCAGGGAGGCGCAGGCGTCTGGTGTGAAAATGCGGGCTCAGCAGGCCACTGCATCCCTACAGCCTGGGTGGAGTCTCTACGAGAAGGTTCAGTTGCTCCAACTCATTGCACAGGAACGGCCCCAGATGGCGCAGCTAATCTCCCATCAGACATCTGCTCCTGCCGGGATGGGCTCCAGGAGCGTGGGTGTGGGAATCCTGGCACCCTGAGCTCCCAAGATTATAGTCAGAGCCGATAAACAAAAATGGCCACAATTCCCGACCCGTCTGTGCGCGCATGCCCCTGGCAATGTGACTTTGCAGCCCCTCCAATCAAGAGGGGCTCTTCCCCGCCCCTCGAACCTGGGCCAATGGGACACGCACAAGAGCTGGTGCTTGCGTTCTGAACCTGGGCCTAAGGGCTGCAGGCTGGGGCCATGCCATGGCCACGAGAGTAAGTCCAAGACCAGACGATGTGGAGGGAGACCAGGTGACCAGCCAAGGCCGTTCTAGAACCCCCCAGGCATGTGACAGCATCCAGCCTAGCTCAGCAGAGCTGATCACAGACACAGAAGTGAGCCAAGCGGGGAGCAGGAGGACGCTCAGTGCACCCACCGACTCATGAGCAGTAGTAAACGCTTATCGCTTTAAGCCGCTGAATCTTAGGGTGGTTCGTAACGCAGCAGTAGCTGACTGGTTCAACAGCTACCCCTACCCCCTCTTCTCCCCTCTTCTCGTCCACTCCACGGTCCAGGCCACAGGACTGCATGCCAGCCTCAGTTTCCCTGCCTGTGCTCCAGTTCCCCATCAGGACTATAGACCAGCCTCCTATAGCTTCTAGGATCCTACCTAAATCTAACCCAGCTCCCGGAAATGCTTTTCCCCTCTTACACACCCACTCCCAGAGGTGGGGGCGGGAGCGGGGTCCTAATAGGTCTCCAGGTCGTGGTTCTGAAACTTCCAACTCTCTCCACCACCACCCGCTTCTGGGTGGCACCCACCGGCTGGCTCGCCCCTCCTTCTCCCCAGGGATCTGTCTTGTTGCAATCCTGGCACAGTGGTCCTGCCCACAGTGTAACTCCAGTCACTCCAAAGAACGGACTGTCCAATGGAGCCCACATGGGCTTCATAGGTGGAGGGCGCTCTGGGCGCCACCTCCAGCGCATGGGTCCGGGAACTGACTGGGCACTGCCGGGCCCTGGAGGAGGGGGGAGGGGGGGGGTCCGCACCCACCTGAGAAGCGTCCTGCGGGAAAACCGCGTCAAAGGCGAACATCTTGGGAGGCACCTGGCTGCCCCTCTTCTGGAAGGCGCTTTGGCCTCCGCACGCCAGGGGGTCGTACAGCGTGACCTGCTTCTTGCGGGGGTCCACCTTCAGGAAGGAGCTGGACTCCGAGGTGTCGCGGGCCAGCGTGGAGCAGATGCGCAGCATGACTTTCACCTGTTAGGGAATAGGGAACGGGACAGGCGTGGACTGAGGTGCATGGAACACGCACGGGCCCTTCACGCGATAAATGACGATGTGCCCGATGGCCGCAGCACGCGTCTCCGTGGGCCGTGGGGGAACAGGTGCCTTTACAGTTGCCAGGTGGCCTATTCGGCGTGCCCTGGGCTTTATTACAGAAATGGCACAGCAGGCTCCTTGCCCCCCTATTCATATGAAGCGGGAAGAGCAGCACCCTGGTGGCCCCATTACGTAGGAGAAAAGGTAGCCCGACTGCCACCTCTCGGGGCTGGCACCGTCCCCGTCCCCGAAGCGCACAGATCCATGAGCCCGGACATAAAAGTGAGCTCCGCGATTCGCTCCTCGCCTCCGCGCGTCGGGCCTCGGAGGAAAACCCAAGTGATTCGTGTCATCGTTAAGGGCCTGTGCACTGACCGGCCTTTCATGGCAGCGTTTGAAGTGTGTTCCGAGGGAGCCGCGAGGAGAGGTCTGTTTAAGCTGGTATTTGGGGTCCCATTAAGTGAGGGCATGGAAGTCGCCTCGTCAGGGCACAAAGGCACATCTCGGTGGGGGACTGACCCACGCCTGGAACGGCACATGGACGTCGCCAGGGCTCATGACTGGCCCCCTCCCCACGGCCAAAGGTGCTACCTATGGGAACGCCCGCCTGCCCTGGGCCTGAGCTGAGCGGGGTCGAGCTGAAGCCACACACGCAGCTCTGGAGACTCGGGTCCTGGGACAGGGACAGCGCTGACGCCCTGACCAGCTCTCTGTTAAGATGCCGCCCGTTCAGCCCAACGGTGGTGAGCATCTACTAAGAGCCAGGCACCAGCCTAGGCACGAGGGCTGCACAGACACGCGATGCCTAAGGTGGCAGGGCAGACAGACCTTTTCTATGACAGGATGGGGCCCATTCTGAGCCTGCGCACTGATGTCTAAGTTTACCGATTCTTAATTTTTTAAAATATGTTTTCATTCATTTCAAAGAGAGGAAGGAAGAGGGGGAGAGAGATAGAGAAATACCAATGATGAGAAAGAATCATCGATTGGCTGCCTCCTGCACACCCCCCACTGGGGATCGAGCCCACAACCCGGGCCTGTGCCCTGACCAGGAATCGAACCGTGACCTCCTGGTTCATAGGTTGGTGCTCAACCACTGAGCCACGCCGGCCGGGTGAAGTTAATTGATTTTTTTAAACAATCAGCTTAGTAGAAACTGGTCTGGGTGAGGTCAGATCACCTAACCCAGTGGTCGGCAAACTCATTAGTCAACAGAGCCAAATATCAACAGTACGACGACTGAAATTTCTTTTGAGAGCCACATTTTTTAAACTTAAACTATATAGGTAAGTTCATTGTTATTAACTTAATTAGGGTACTCCTAAGGCTTAGGAAGAGCCACACTCAAGGGGCCAAAGAGCCGCATGTGAGCCGGGGTTTGCCGACCACTGACCTAACCAGAAAGTCCACTTGACATCATTTTTGCCTCCATCCCAGCAGTCCTGGGATTACCTTTAAGCCTTCCGCGTCTATTAAGTTCCTGAAACGTGTCTCCCAGGCAAGTCAGGGCCAAAAAGAAGGTTCCTCAGAATCCACCAGCCGGAGGCGTGGTGGGGAGAGTAGAAGTGAGGCTGCCAGAGGGACTCCACATCCTAAGGGAGTCCTCCACCTGCTGGGACAGAGCAGCCGACCTGCAGAGCACGTTCGCCACCGACACCCGTCCGGGGCCTGCTTCCCTCCCCGAGGGCTGAGCAGCGACGGGATGCTGGTGTCCTCACGTGAGTGTGCGCCCTGGGAATGCCGGCCATCCTGTGGCTCACGGGAGACTCTGCCTCCGATGGGAGAGCCCAGGGTCCCAGGCCCAGCCTGATAACAGCTGAGAGCGAGCGGAGACGCGGCACCCTACAGACCAGGAGGTCTTCCCGGTTCGAGGTATTTGGGGGGGATCCAGCTCTTGAGGGAAAAATGTGGAGGGACATCAAAGGGTCCATTGTATCTCACGAGCGCATCTCCTTTCTTAAACGCTCCGGGTGTAACGGCCCTGCAGTGAAGTAGAAGCCAGGAGACTGGGTTCGAATCCAAGCTTCACCACCATTGCGTGGCTGTGTCATCTAAGGCGTGGGCCTCGGTTTCCTTACCCCCAAAATGGGCCTGTTGTGCTACCGCCCTTGAAGGGCATTTGTGAAGAAACAATTAAAGAGCCCGGCCGGCGTGGCTCAGTGGTTGAGCGTCGACCTATGAGTCAGGAGGTCACAGTTCGATTCCCGGTCAGGGCACATGCCCGGGTTTCGGGCTCGATCCCCAGTGTGGGATGTGCAGGAGGCAGCCCATCCATGATTCCCTCTCATCATTGATGTGTCTATCTTTCTCTCCCTTTCCTTCCTCTCTGAAGTCAATAAAAATATATTTTAAAAAGAAACAAACAAACAAAAACAAGTAAAGCAGCATACACATGTAAAATATTGTTCTAAGAAGGAAGGAAAGAAAGGGGGAGGGAGGAAGGGGGGAGAGGGGAGGGGGAGAGAGAAGAAAGGGGAAAGGGGGGAGGGAATTTTTATTCCTTTCTCTATCAAATTGCTGACATCAGAAGCCTTTCTCCTAAGCTTAATTTTAAAAATTAAAGCAAAATATTATTTAGCGCACACACATCCACGGCAACAGAGAGCAGATGATCCCTCCTCCCCGAACGATAAAATCAAAGGCTACACGTTTGCTGCATGTTTGTAAAGGGGAGTCATCCACGTGAAACCTGCCCTGAGCATCTGAAAGGGAAGTGAGTTCTTCCCTTATTTCACTCCCTTCTTGTCTGTCTTGATCAGACGTGATCGATGTGCTCACAGTGTCTGCTTAGGGTCCATCACGTAAGATGACAGAGACACTGAACTTTAAACTCACTCCTCGATGTGTGCTCCTCCCAGCACACTTGCTTTTCTGATCAACCAAGACAGTTAGCAGCCCTCCCCGTCCTTCGGTGCTCAGGACAGTCCGACAGAGCTCCTGGGAATGATTTAGTGAAGTGCCAACTTCTAAACCACACTGCAGGGGCGACGGGCGATTCCCAAGCCTGATTTAAAGAGCACATTCCTCTTCTGATATAATTAATGTACCACTCCCTGCTAGCCCACCCATGGGCACACTGGACCCCACTGCTAACCCACCATGGGCACACTGGACCCCACTGCTAGCCCACCATGGGCACACTGGACCCCACTGCTAACCCACCATGGACACACCGGACCCCACTGCCAGCCCACCATGGGCACACTGGGCCCCACTGCTAACCCACCATGGGCACACTGGACCCCACTGCTAACCCACCATGGACACACCGGACCCCACTGCCAGCCCACCATGGGCACACTGGACCCCACTGCTAACCCACCATGGGCACACTGGACCCCACTGCTAACCCACCATGGGCACACTGGGCCCCACTGCTAACCCACCATGGACACACTGGACCCCACTGCCAGCCCACCATGGGCACACTGGACCCCACTGCCAACCCACCATGGGCACACTGCACCCCACTGCTAACCCACCATGGGCACACTGGACCCCACTGCTAACCCACCATGGGCACACTGGACCCCACTGCTAACCCACCATGGGCACACTGGACCCCACTGCCAGCCCCCCATGGGCACACTGCACCCCCTGAATGAGACCTCCCCTGCCCCCTTTAACTTACCCAATGTGCCCGCCTAACCTGATAGGAGAGAGAAGCAAATTTAAATTGGGTTTTACAAAAGGCAAAGGTTTAAATACTTTTCTAATGACATTTCAAGCAATGGTCTGAAGTTATTTTCTCTGAAGGAAGATCTTGATGGTTTCGTGGGACTGAAAGTTTCCAGAAGTTTCCTAGGAGACCACCAGAACCATATCCCTATAGCAGTGACCTTGGAGGTCCCACCCCCACGCCTGGGAAGGAGCCAGCAGGCCTGCTCCCGAGTGACTGCGGGCGCTGTGAACGCATTTGCAACGTCAGTGTCAGCATCGCAGGAAGACACAGTTACTGTTAAGGATCGCAGATCCGCACCTGCCGGGACCCCAAAGGCGCTAGGCTCAGTGTAGTTGCTAGTTACAGAGCAAAGCCAAACGGGATGGAATCTCTGCATACAACACAGTACTAATCCGACGTGACCTATTCAAAGGTCACGGGGCTGTATTCCCGGCAGGAAGTACTGAGTGGGGGGATCCAGCGCCGAGTTTGGGGGTATGGGGGGTGAGACCCCGGGCCTAGTCTGGGGCCGTGTCTGCTCTGCTGACAAATCAACCCCTCAGCCAGCCAGCCCTGGGCACCACCACCATAACGTCTCTCAAAGTTCTACAAACCTCACATTCACTAATGACTACTCCACGTGGCTCCCCGCCAGCTGTGTGAGGGGACATCATTACCATCACTTCCTGCACCCTCCTGAAGGCTCGGGAGGCTGAGGTCGGGCACTTCCGAGGCTGGTCCAAAGCCCGCTGCCCGGCAGAGGGGCAGGGGCAGTGGTGGGGGGCCTGGGACCGGCTCCCCTGTGGTAGGTGTCCGGGTCGAGCCCCGCCCAGCAGGGCCAGGGCACGCTCTCCCCGGGCTGGGCCTGGGTGAACCTCCTCTGAGGAGCCGGAGGCTGTCCCTGCGCTGGGGACGCCGGCTCTCAGAGGTGCCAGGGGGCCCTTGGGTGGCCCCAGGTGGCCAGTGATGAGCCGCGAGGCCCTCTGAGAGGGAGATGCTCATGCGTGGACGCCGGGCTGGGGACGGTGACAGTGGCAGCACAATAAAGCTCAGGGCGGCCAGAACGGAGCTGGGTAATGAGATGTTCTCCGGACAGAAGCGCTCGGGGAGTGGGGGGACGGAGGCTCCCCAGAGCTCCCTGTCAGCAGGAACCTGTCGCCAGCAGGGACTGCGGCGCGGAGCGGGGATAAAGCCAGGGCAAGCCCTTCCCAGAGGCGCTGCGTGGCACCGCCATTAGCAGGCGGGCACAGCTGGCCCGGCTGGGAGACGAGACAGG